AGCTAATGGTGATGAAACAAACCTCTACAATCCAATCAACCAGTATTCCTCGCATTTTTTCGGTGATATCTTGCTGCAACTGTTCCATATAGTTTGTTGAGGTCCTTTGATCAAGCTGAAAAGAACCAGTCATTTTTATGGAAACTGCAAACATCTTAAATATCGAAGAACAAATTCAGCGGCTTCCTAATAATTTCAAAAGTTTCATATTTCCCTTTCTAGTTTAGAAATCCTACTTTCAAGTGAAAGAGACAATAGAAAGCAGGGAATTTTTTGGTCTATATTTGTTAATTATGTATGATTTCATAACATGTGTAATTATGGCTCATGGCATAAGATGATTACAGTATCTGTATTAACTTGACTAATGTAACTATGGCAAATAGTGAACAGTAAGTCCTCAACACAAACCTCCGCCACACGTATCCTGTCATATATGTCTGGAGCATATATGCTGCATGATTGAAGACATTTGGAGTCCGAATCAATGTTTATAATGCCTCTATCCTTAGATGCTGCCGATTGTTCAGGTGACATATTTTTTTCTGCAAAATTTACACAACGGTGTCACTATCACTCCTGGCAAATTCAAGAGCCATGCTTATATACTACGTTCATACGTGGCTCTTCTAAATTTTTTCCAATAATCATGAACATTATCAGGAACTGCTATTAGTAGAATCAATAGTTAACAGTTTATTACATGAAGATCATGTTTCCAAAAACTATTATGATGCTCAATTTTTCCAACAAAACTTGATCATTCTTGCAGGCTAATTAATTGTGCTTCACAAAAAATTGCAGATACAGTTTGTCTACTCTCCTATATATTATAAGCAGTTAGAAGTAGAACATAATAAATCAGCAAAAATCACATCTGGCTCATAAACCCATTCCAAGCTCCTTTTCAGGACATATTTCCATAAAAATTGAATATAAAATGTTTTTTTTTTTTTTTTTGATAAGCAAGGTAATATGCTCCAACAACAGGATAGTGCAAACCTATACATGGAAGCCATTGAGATAAGGTCACTTGATGGTTCAGTTAACCAATAAAGATATACATTATAAGAAACTAATTTTAGAGATGGTATATACCATTTGGCTGAGGGACAGATTCATCTGAAGATACAGAGAGAGTAATATCTGAAACTCCACAGTCTCTGCTATTGGGACACATGGCTTGCACTGTTCTCTCTTTTTTGTCTGAAGTTTCTCGCGAAGAGACCTCTTGTGATTCTACCACCCTTACTTTAGATAAATCCTCTGCTAATCTTGTGTTTGCATCTTCTTCTGCTCCTGCAGAAACATTTAAAGGTGCATTTGCCTTAGCCTTCGCAGAAACTCTTCTAGTTGGTTTGGCACCCTGTCAAATATGGTCGTTAGCAATTAAAGAACTGCATATATCACCATTTCCAGTATCCAAGATTTAAGTTTACCCGAACATTAGAAGCATTGCCGCAATTCCTATCAGACCCTTTAGTGGAAATGTTAGTCACATCCTTGAGCACTGCTCTTCTTTTAATAGGAAGGCCATTGGAAGAGATTGAACAAATCTTAATATCATCAGATGCCATTCTTTTTGAGTTAGCTCGTAGAATTGGCATTTGAACTCCAGAAGATTTTGAGGAGCATAGAATGCCTCCTGATTCGCTAAGCTCTTTTGCCCGTGCCCTTGTGATACGGACAGAGCACTCTTCAACTTCAAAAGCAACGTTTTCCGTACTCATTTCTTACTGCTTTGAACACCAGCGGTCGATTACAGTAGATCAAAAATCAATTTCATTGAAGCTGCATTACCAACATAAGATAAATGGGTAAGAACCGACGCTAAACTGAAAATAATTTAACGTGGAGGTACAGAGGAAAATCGAGAAAAAACCATGCGGCTACTACAGAAAGTGAAATAACATGCAACGCTTGATTGAAAACTTCATGGAAAAGCTATAGCGCAAGACATTTTTCACCTCTAAAAAATTTTCGAGAAAAATCTGATAAACATGGAGAACTACTGTGATAATACTCGACCAATAATTTAATGGTAAAGGTGTTCCAATAGAAGTGAAGAGTAGCGAAAATGGTATGTAACAGTTTCAAAGAAACTTACGAACCTAGATTACAGCAACAGTAAACAATAGACAACACAGAATCCCCTGATGCAAACCTCATACGTTTATTTTCATATCGTAACCGTAAGAAACTCCCTATTTCTTCTCTCCTTCCATCCACCCAACCAATACAAGACCTCTCGACATCGCTGCCAGCCAAATAGGGAAGAGAAATCACGCACGCTTCCAAGAACTTAAAGAAATCAAATTTCCCTCCAAAACGAGTAACATGGAAGCAACAACAAGGAATCATACAGTAGCCTCTAAAATCCGCCGGATTTGAACGGCCAGACAAAGGCCAAATCATCAAGCGCAATATAGATTTCCAAATAGACTTAAATACAAAAGAAATCGGCATTGAAGATCCACGCCATGCACCAAAATAAATAAATCGAAACGTCCACAACAATCATTATCCGTCCGAGATTCGAAACCGCTAAAACAACCAAACAAACGTTCGAACGCATAAAATAAATACTCGTAAATGAGCACAAGAGATTAGATGAACCGATTATCAAAAAAAAAAAAAACAACACTGCCAAGGTTGGGATTACGTCTCTAACTAGAGCTCCACCGCTTCCATGGCGATCTGGAGAGCTCTCAGCAGAAATACAGAGAGCGGGAGAAATTGAACTTTGGACAGAGAGTCAGAAAATGAATGACAGAGACAGAGACAGAGAAATAGAGAGCGTCAAAGGAGCGTGAGCGGGATAAGGGTACAGTTTGAACTTCCATTTAAATAAATATTTAAAATAATAAATGCTATAAATTTATGTTATTTAAATATATCCTCATGCAATTTTATTTTTAGACGACCTTTTATCTAATATTCTAATATTTTTATATTTATAGGATAATTTTTTAAGCTCGTGTGAAATGTTGAGGGTAATATGGTCATTTTTAAAATTATAGAAGTATTTTCCGAACAAATAATGAAATTTAAAAGTATTTTTATAAGATAACCTAAAAAGAACATGGAATCGTCAAATTTCCTTTCCTTCCATTAACACGTGATTTTCATTATAGTCGTTTGAAATAGTAAGAAAATATCTCGTGGAACAAAGAAACCTATACGAGGTCGTATGGGGTGCGGGGTCTGGCTTCGGGTTTGAGTTTTTTTTGGACGCGTGTGAAATGTTAAGGGTAATATGGTCATTTTTTAAAATTATAGACGTATTTTCCAAACAAATAATGAAATTTAAAAGTATTTTTATAAGATAACCTAAAAAGAACATGGAATCGTAGAATTTCCTTTCCTTCCATTGACACGTGATTTTCATTATAGTCGTTTGAAATAGTAAGAAAATATCTCGTGAAACAAAGAAACCTATACGAGGCCGTATGGGGTGCGGGATCTGGCTTCGGGTTTGAGTTTTTTTTGGACGCGTGTGAAATGTTAAGGGTAATATGGTCATTTTTAAAATCATAGACGTATTTTCCAAATAAATAACAAAATTTAAGGTATTTTTACAAGATAACCTAAAAAGAACATGGAAGCATACAATTTATTTTCCTTCCATTGACACGTGATTTTCATTATACCTTCAAACCTATTATTTAATCATCGACCATAATTTATATATATATTTGTAAAGTTGTTTCATTTTTTTGTATTCAATTACCCACGATCATGGGTCCAGTCATATTGAAACATTTTTTAAAACCTAAATAAATTGTTCGGGTTATAAATTTTTTTAATTCAAACAACTCTTATTAAATAATAAATGAATAATTTATTACATTTTTTAATAAAAATAAAATTTTAGTTTATAAAATATATATTTATTTAGTTTTAAATATTTAATTAAAAATCAAAAAAAGTAAATAATAAATTTTTTTAAATATATATATACTAAAATTAACAATAAATTTGGATTATTTATTTTTATGACATAACCATGAATGTATTTATAAACGATATTTAAAGGACAGTAAATAACAAAATAAAAAATTGTTTATATAATAATTTTTGAAGGAAAGAAAGAGGGGAAATATTAAATGAATATTTACAGTGATAATAAATGTTAAAGTGGAAGGGGAAAATAGGCCCAATACCCCTCGTGATTCAATTAAATTATCTGTTCTGTCAAAATCAATTTCCATCGGACCAAAATAAATGATTTAAAGGATGACTTACGTACGAGCCGAAGTAATGAGGCGTGTCGGGGTCGGGGTCAGGGTCGGGTTTTGGGTCGGAGATGCGCTCCTCATTATTCATTTTGCCATCACTTTTAATGTTCGTCTTCACTTGATGAATCGAATTCACAATCACTTTTAATGTCGGGGTCAGGGTCAGGTCGAGTTCACAATTCAATAGGTGTGAGTTTTTTTTAATTATTTTAAAAAATCTCACTTATCCACAATATATTAATAACTAAAATTTCATAAAATTTAAATATCAAATATTTATATAGTAAATTTCGTTAAAAATAATATTTTTAAAAGTAGGTAGGATTAGATTGTAATCCTATTTTCTGTCAATCCAGTTAAAACAAATATCATCGAGCAAAATGAATGGAATTTTCAATTTTTTTAAAATTAAACCTAACAAAAAAAAACCAACTTTTATGATTGAGGTCAGGTAGTATCGGTTGTTTATGTAGTTGAGACTAAGACTGATCAAAGTCGTAAGACCATGTATGGGGGCTGACGCCTTTCCAGTGCCGAAAGGTCAAGGAAGGTGGTGACCTAATAACAAGGGAGTCGGCGATCGAAGCCCCGGTGATCGGTGGCCGTAATTATAATGATCCTAAGGTAGCGAAACTCCTTATCATGTAAGTTCCGACTCACATGTTTGGAATTATAATTTTTTTTTAAAAATTAAATTATATATATATTATATAAATTTTAATTTAAAAGATTGAATTTACTTAGTGTTAATATACAATAAAAGATTGAATTAGAGACGGAAGGCCGAAATTCAGCTGTGGCGCCACCGGAATCAATAGTACGTCGGAGGATAGCCGCCGTTGTCGTTGTCATCTCTTTTCTCTGCATAAACCCTAAACCCTAAACCCCCAATGCCCATTCAGAAACCTTTATTTTTGGCATACGGGATCCTCCACGCCATTGAATGCTATCGTTGTTCTAGTTTTCGAGTTCATGCTCTGCGATTCTCCTCTTCGTCTGCTCAGTCATGGCTGTCCACACCGGGAAAGCCACTCATAAAGTGGCCTTCACTGCCCGACCAGGCGGGAAGCTCGTTGCAATCGGAACCGGCCACAATTTCAAACCCTAACTCTGACACTGACCTGAAATCTGATGCACGTTATGCGCAGAATGACTTCTCTACCATTTCTGGCATCCTTTCCGATCACGGTGTTCGACCTGGTGCAGCGTTCGAGGATGCTTTGGACAGGACTGGAATTGTGCCGAGTTCGAGTTTGCTGGAGGCTGTATTCGATCATTTCGATTCGTCTCCCAAGTTATTGTATTCGCTGTTTCTCTGGGCTGCGAAGAAACCTGGATTTCGTCCCTCACCGGCATTGTTCAATTGTATGATCAACGTGCTGGCGAAGTCGAGGGCGTTTGATTCTGCTTGGTCTCTGATTATTCGTCGTCTTCGTGGAGATGGAGAATCCTCTTTGGTTTCTGTCGATGTCTTCGTGATATTGATCAGGCGGTACACTCGTGCAGGTATGTTTATAATGACACTACAACTCAATGTCCGTTTTTATGCATGAACTGATTGATCTTCCATTTCTTAAACCGTTCGAAACTATGCATATTCAAATTTGGAAATCATCTCCATTTGTCATTCCATTTGAGGTTCATGTTTATCTTGATTGCCATTCCATTTGAGGTTCAAAAAGAGAATATTCATATTCAAAGCCAAAACCAAGTGAGTGTAGAAATGATTGTTTGGGCTATGTCTATGGTGATTTCTACAGGCATGGTTCAACCTGCAATTCGGACCTTCGAATTTGCTTGCAACCTAGAAACAATTTCAGGGACCAACTCGGAGAGTTTGTTTGAGATTTTATTAGATTCCCTCTGCAAAGAGGGCCATGTCAGGGTAGCTTCTGAGTACTTCAATAGGAAAAGAGAGTTGGATTTGAATTTCAAACCATCAATTCGAGCTTATAATATACTTCTAAATGGATGGTTTCGATCAAGAAAGCTCAAACATGCTGAGAGGCTCTGGTTTGAGATGAAAAAGAACAAAATATCACCTACAGTCGTTACGTATGGCACCCTTGTCGAAGGCTACTGTCGAATGCGTCGGGTCGAAATAGCCATTGAATTGGTGGATGAGATGAGGGGAGAAGGTATTGAGCCAAATGCAATCATATATAACCCAATAGTTGATGCCCTTGGGGAGTCTGGGAGGTTTAAGGAGGCATTGGGAATGATGGAGAGGTTCACGGTTCTCGAGCAAGGCCCTACGATCTCGACATACAATTCTCTTATTAAGGGTTATTGCAAGGCAGGAGATCTTTCAGGGGCTAGCAAGATCCTTAAGTTGATGATGAATAGAGGATTCACTCCCACCCCGACTACCTATAACTACTTCTTTAGATTCTTCTCAAAGTATGGGAAAATTGAGGAGGGTATGAACCTTTACAATAAAATGATTGAATCGGGATATACGCCCGATAAACTTACGTATCACCTGTTGCTGAAGATGTTGTGTGAAGAGGAGAGATTAAACCTTGCAGTTCAAGTTTGCAATGAAATGAAGGCTAGGGGGTTTGGCATGGACTTGGCTACAAGCACCATGTTAATTCATTTGCTTTGCAAGATGCATAAGTTTGAAGAGGCTTTCGCTGAATTCGAGCACATGATTTGTCGTGGAGTAGTTCCTCAATATCTAACTTTCTGCAGATTGCTTGATGAATTCTCAAAACGTGGATTGACAAAAATGGCATCAAAGCTACGAGGAATGATGTCTTCGGTTCCTCATTCAGAGAAGTTACCTGATACGTATAGTCAAGCTCCCGATTCCATCCGTGCTAGAAGAACATCTATTATGCGTAAAGCCGAGGCAATGTCTGAAATGTTGAAGGTCTGTAAAGACCCTAGGGAGCTTGTCAAACGCAGAAGTCCATCTGAAACTGCTGTGTTTAATGCAAATAGGTTGATAGATGATATCAAGAAGAAAGCCAACTCTGCGACTGTTTGTATTTAATGCAACTGCTCATTAGCTACGCACAAGATGACTTGAGCTACATAGTTTCTCCACAGGACTCTTTGGAGAAACTCTAACAAATGAATCAATTTCGCTGGCATGTGCAGTTATTTTGCGAGGTGATAAACAATCTTCTTGAGGGTCGAGCATATATTCGACAAAGAGCTCGCAAGAATTCAATTGGACTTGGGATGGTTTTTATATGTTTGGATATAGAGCAGAATGACAAAACGTTTATGTATTTGATTTTTATCTTTTCTTCCAAATTATTATTAGTAGGCCTCTTCAAATGAAAACAGAGAGCTGTTGAAGCAGGGAAAGTACAAGGTTGGGCACTTCAACAACAACAATGTAATCCAAAACCCCCCACTCTTATTTTCCCATTTGGGGTCTTCCGATACAATTGGAACGATACAACAATACAGAGAAGATTATCATGGCCCCTGCATAAGGATGACATGTACAAATCGAAAAAAAGGGATAAGAGCCAGGTATTGGACGGTGTGCCAGTGAGGATGTTGGGCTCCTTAGGGAGTAGATTTTGAGATCCTACATTGGTTGGAGAAGAGAACGAAACATTTCTTATATGGGTATGAAAACCTCTCCCTAGTAGACATGTTATCTCTGTAAAGTTTTTCCCGGTCAGGGATCTGGGGGCGGAAAGAAGCAAGGATAGGAGTGTTGAATTCAAACAAATGACGTATGTGGATTGGTTGCTGAAAAGCAAGGTTTTTCAACATAATGATGATGAAAAGCACAATTGTTGGGAAGTGGTTTTGCAACCAAACTCAATTGAATTGCATCATTGTCCATTAACAATGTGATGGGGAGTTTTTTCAATCTGCCCGCCGCAGCGATTGGTTTAAGATTAGGAAGACAGGTGCGGGCGAGAGCGTTTCTGCAGGGACAGCGAGCTAGTGGAATCCACACCACCTCCTCGTAAGATCACCTTTTTAAGCTCTTTATCCCTGCCACCCAAGCATCACACACACAAACTCATTTGATTGGGGGGGCGAAATCACGATTTTCTAACTTTTTAAAAGGGTTTAGATTACAATTTGATTAATATTGGCTTTAGTAGTCTTTAGTTGAGGCATGCGTTGCTTTTTTATTATATTTATAGTTATTCGTATCATACTATATTAGATATCACACCGCACGTGCTATCGACTTCTTAGAAGCAGTAGAGGTGCTTTCTAACTTTGTTGTATTGAACCCTTGTACGGTATTAGATGTCACACCACACGTGCTATCGACTTCTTAGAAGAAGTAGAGGTGTCTTCTAACTTTGTTGTATTGAACCCTCGTACGGTATTAGATATCTCCCCACACGTGCTATCGACTTCTTAGAAGAAGTAGAGGTGCCTCTTAACTTTGTTGTATTGAACCCTAGAACGCTTTCCTATAGTAGTCCTATTGCAACCTTTGACCATTCGTCCTGTCTCATCTTTCTTTTGCTATATTTGCATGTATCAACCCATGTTAGCTTCACACTGAGAGTCTTTAGAAAAAGGCTAAAAAGATCACGCTCTGCTTGTATTAGAAGGTACCTTAAACTATAGATTGTTCGAAGTAGACGGACCTTAAACTTTATCGTATTGAACCTTCAACGATATTTCAAGTTTAGTTCATTGTAGTTATATCAAGGTAGCACGTATGATTTTAAGTGTCGAGAATTCGAGCGAAGTTTAATTTGATCATATTGAACATTATGTTAGCAATTGTAGTTATATCAATGTTTGGTTGGGGATGTTTCTATTATATTTTAGACCCTTTTTGGTGTATTATATTTCTAGTCAAAATTTATATTTATTTTTGTTAATTTTTTTATAAAAAAAATAGTATTTTGGTCTCATTTTCTGGAAATTTTTATAAAGTAATAATTGGATAATTATGTGGCATCAATGCATGCATTAAAAGAAAAATTAAATAAAGGTATAATTTTTGGTCAAAATGTTGTTTGTTTTTTCTTATTTTATAGAGATAAATATTTTAAAATAAACTTATTGAAATTCAAATGGTTATAATGGAATATTTAAAGCCACATTTGATGGTTTAAATGGTTTCATATTAATGTCCAAATTTGATAACAAGAAATAAAAGAAAATCTAATTTCAACATAAATATCCTAGAAAAATATCTTCTTATAATATCTAAATCCAATTACTTTCTTATTATTATATTATAAAAAAATTCAAATAAAATTTCATTTAAAATTTATTTCTTAATATTATTGTTTAAATATTTATATATTATTTTGTAGCAAAGACGCAGACAGAGATGTTCATTTAATGTGTAGGGATTTGTTGGAGTGGAAAATTTTCGTTTGTCTCTGTCTTTGTCTATGGCCTCGTACTCTACTAAAGAAATGAAGAATTTCACGGTGATGAAAATTAAAATATGAGGTAGAGTCGGGATTGAAATCATTTCAACTAATTCTTAATTTTTATATAATTTAATGGTATAGGCATATATATATATATAGGTTTAATTTAAATTTAAATTTTTGTGTATTAAGTATAAGATCTAAATAATGTTATGTAAAAGTAAGAAATTTGAGTATGTAATTGTTTGATAAAAATAAACTAAACTACAAAGTTGATATTTTTAAATAGAAGGAATCTAAATTTAACACTAAAAATTGCTACTCAAAACCTAACTTTTGATTGAGTTGGATTTTCTTTCCAATTCAGAAAGCTGACCTCATCCTTCAAATTTTTCATCATTGATTTTTCTCTGAACAATTCCTTTCTCGATGTGATTTTGATTTTGATTTTGATGAGCTCGAGGCCGGTTTGATTTTCGTTCGCGCGCCACCAAATTGACGCCCACAAACCAACGAATTCTGTGAATTTTTCCATTATTTTATCAAATCTGATCCGGTGAACGGAAGGAACTGAATCCCTCACCGGCGCCGGAGTCGGAAATTTTCTATAGAATCTTTTATCTCGAGAAAAGAGCCTGATTCTCTCTCTCTTCTGATTCTTTTGGCCTCTTTTTTCTGTATGTTTCTTTTCAAAAATCGTGTTGCTTGTCTTTTGTTTTTCTCTACACTCTTGCTCTTTATGCAGAGTGAAATGGATGCTTTCGTAAAGAGACAACTCTTGAGGTTCCATCTCTAATGGCTCATTCCAATGCGGGCTACTGCAGCAATGGCGAGAACAAGAGCACGAGGCAGGTTCAGCCACTAGGTAATGCGATCTTCCATGATTTTCTTGGCATTAGGACCAAAGATGCTTCTATACTCTCGGCCGCGAAGACGCCGGATGTAAGCTTATCGGAGGCTTCGTCGCCGTCGTCAGCCTTGGCTTCTTCTAGCGGCGGCCGTGGACTCCTCTCCGCTGCTTCCGATCTTGCTTCTGGTCAGTTTGTTAACATTCATCGTCTTCAATTTGCTTTGTTCTAGGTTATTTATCGCTTGCTGGTTTTCGTTTCAACGATTTCGCCGTTGCCTGGATAACTTCCACTCTTTGCGATTATCCTTTTGCTTGATGAATATTCCGATCTTTATCGACCTCTCGATTGATTGAATGATTCGTATTTTTTTGGTTAAATTCTTTTGATTCCAAAATATTGATTTTCATGTGTGAACTTTTCTTTTCTTTCTGCAACGAAGAATTTCTGTCTCCTTTTGCTCTTTATGTCAATGTAAAGTTTAGTGGATTGGTTTGAAGCTTTCTGAAAGGCCTCTTTAGCCCTGCTCTCTTTTTCCTTCAGTTTTTAAACACTAAGTGCTTTTCGGAAACAGAAATTACACTTAGTTTTATCTGCAATCTTCCTTTCTCCATTGTTAATTTCTTTGGTTTTTTGCTTTATTTTCAAGTTTCAGCTGTCTGATTCTGGATTTGAATTCTTATTGGATGTAATGTCAACCTCTTTCAGATATGAATCTATCTGATTCAGAGGGGATGAACTTGCATCAGTATCTCAATTTCAATTCAAACATGTGTTTGATTCACACTCCATGTTCTGAAAAATATTTACCATTTACACTGTTCTTCATTTTTGGTAGAAAATCAGGTGGGAGGTTATCTTGAAGGGGTTCCCTTCTGCAGTCCAAGGAATGAGAAATCTGGACCTGAAAAAAGTAGTTGGATAGCAGGGATTAAACGAAGTAATCCAGATTCTGGTTTCGTTGGGTCATATAGAAACCAAATTCCTCATGTACCTTCTGACTCTCTTGAGAGGTCACATACAATGAAGGTTTTGACAGCTTTTAGCTTCCTTTAATCACATTCCAGGGAAGTGAAAAGGATTTTAATGGATCATTTGATCTGATTTTCTTTTAACTTGTATCAGATGCTACAAACTGGACCTGGTGGAGATCGATCGAGATACAATGATAACGAGGCAGGTTTTGACAGCTTTTAGTTTTCTTTAATCACATTCCAGGGAAGTGACAAGGATTTTAATGGATCATTTGATCTGATTTTCTCTTAACTTGTATCAGACACTACAAACTGGACCTGGTGGAGATCGACCGAGATACAATGATAACGAGGCAGTTTACTACAGTATGAAGCCTCCAAAATTTGCTTCTTATTCCCTCACACAACACTCTCTTGGCACTAGATTTAATCCTAGTGTTACCAAATGGGAGAGGCCTATTCCGTTGAACACGAGCTCGGCACAGAATTCTCCGCTCGGGATTCCGTTGATGCCTCGTGTACATCAAGTAGGTTCTAGCTCTTCCAGAGAATTTAATGTTGCTCCTTCCAGTGTGTCTCAACCTGCTGCTGATGAAGGATCTAGAACTGGGATGAAAAGCCCTGGACTTTTGAGTAGCATTAATGTTGGAAATGATGGGAGACATTCTTCTCAAATGTTGCTAAGTTGTGACAAGCAGAAATCCAAGACTGAAGGTTTAGAATACAAATCTTCTAATCCTCCAAGGTAAATTACCGATCACGTATCGTTCTGTACAGTTCCGTTTTTCAACTGTTCTATGAAAAATTGAAGCGTTGTGTTTAAATCTATCGTGACAGTCAGCAGGGACTTGATTCTAACAACACAAAGATGACTATTTTCTATGGTGGTCAAGCTCATGTTTTTGATGATGTCCCTCCAAACAAGGTACTTTTCCATATGGCAAGGGTCATTATAATAATAAAAAGCTCATTGAGAATGGATCCAAAATAGCTACTTACCTAGAATTTAGCATGCTAGGAGATTCCACGACAACCAAATGTGTCCGTAAGATTAGTCGAAGTGTATGCAAATTGGCTCGGGCACTCATGGGTATTGAATAAAAAACTATTAGTTATAGTATCTTCATGTTTGCTTCGACTCTTGAACTGATAAGCTTGCCGTTCATGCTTCAACAAACTAGAATTTAGTATGTTCAACAAGGAACCTTTCCATATGGCAATAAGGGTCATTAGAATAATGAAGAGCTCATTGAGAATAGATCCAATATAGCTACATACCTAGAATTTAGCATGTTATGAGATTCCTCAACAACCAAATGTGTCCGTAAGATTAGTCGAAGCGCATGCAAGCTGGCACGGACACTCATGGGTATTAAATAAAAAAGTATTCATTATAGTATCTTCATGTTTGCTTTGACTTTTGAACTGATAAGCTTGCCATTCATGCTTCATACAAACTTATCGATTTTTGCTATGATAAAATTTTGAATCGGATGAGCAAATGACAACATACACTCGTAACACTCGTAACCTACCAGTTACTTATGAGTCAAGAAGTATGCATAATTTATGTTAGTTCTTTGTTGGAGAATATATTTCGTTTGGGAGTACATATCTTGAGCTTGATCTCCTAAATGAAGATTTTTTAGCTAAAATTTTGGAGTTCGTTGAAGTAGGATTTCAGTTTTGTTGTTAATTATTCATTAATCTTGGTGGTTGCTGCTGGGTTCTTTCAGGCTGATATTATAATGGCCTTAGCTGGATCAAATGGGGGCTCTTGGTCAACAGCCTTAGCACCTAAATTAAATGTAACTGGTATATCTAGTGACCAGCAATCAGCTAAAGCATATCACGGTACGATACCTACCGGTCGAGGAGTTGGTGACACTCTAATCTCGACACAAACAGGTGATTCTAACTTAAAGAAGTTCAGATTAACAGAAAAATATATTCGTATTGTTGGTCTTGGTTTTTTGCAGCTATCAGGTTTTCAAGATTCAGAGTAAGATCTTATTTTGTTAGAAATTGCTTCCAAGTTTGATGATGTCAATCTGTATTATTATTAGGTTGATTTTAATGCTTTGTACGCATAATAATTGACAAACCACCAACATTCTGGCTGTAGATGTAGGCAATCGTCCACGCAGCGTTCAAGTGAAAGAGACTCGAGAACCCGTTTGCACAGCAGACCCAAAGGCTGAACGGTAGAAAAAGAGAGGAGTTGAGTTGTAAGATTGCTGTTCCAATCTCATCATATCATATCATTTTCGTCGTCGTTGGTTTCTTGTTTTCTGAAAATAACAACAGTCAATTGCTATCTAAGGCGACGATGGCTTATCTTTCCATCCCCATCCCGCCCGGGCCATTCTGGAGCAACCACCATTCTGGCTGCAGGTGATGATCATCACATCATGTAGCCAAAACTTAAAAAGAGGGTATAAAGAGATTTATAGTAAAAAGTATTGGTGTGTCAAGTCCAGTTTCATCAGCATTGTCATTATTATTATTATTTTCTTTTTTGAGCTTATCATATCATATCATATATATATACATAACAGTTAATTGCTTGCTTAAGGCGATGGGCTTCTCTTATTATTAGATTTGTTTGATGCTGAAAAGTTGGTTGGTTGGTTGGTTGGTTGGTTGGTTGGTTGGTTGGTTGGTTGGTTGGTTGGTTGGTTGGTTGGTTGCTATAAAATATTTCTTTATTATTCCATTGTGAATAGCAGTGGAAAACTTGGGCATACTTGGGCATTATATCATGAAGACCCTTTCTTTCATGGGTATTTTGGTCATTTTGATATGAAAAAGGGGTAAAATGGTACTTCTCATCCTTTCATGCCAACATCTCCCACCCCCTAGTCTTCATTTAAAACGAATTAGGGTTTTATAGGAGAAACAAACTCTACATGATTGATGAACCCTAAATATACTCATCTCACTTTGTATGTAATTGTTATTTTATTATTTGGATTTTTTTATCTCAAAACGAGCATATATTAATCATTGTGGGTTATACTTCTATTGATCTCTGTACAATTATATTTGCATTTCATGAGATGGTGAAAAAGCTTAGTAAATTATTATAATTATAACAATTCATCATTTAACTCAATTCACTAAGACGATTGGACTAAATACTTATTAAAAGCACTCCAAAACACATCGAAGAAAACCATTAAATTGACCAATCTGTAGTTCAGAGCAGCGGCCCAAACATCACTGGGCTTCCTAGGCCTGGACGTCTTGCAACAACGAACAAACGTGAAAGATCGCCCAACTTTTGTAATTTCTAATATTCAATATTCATGCTTGTACTGCATGTACTACAACTACGCCTCCTGAATAGATCCAATCTGTACTACAGTTATTCATTTCAAATCTTATGTTCAATTTTGTGTTGAACGAAAATTATTCACGTTGATCAATAATAGCAGTCATCGAATAGCCATTGAAGTGATTGATAAAAACGACTTAGTAGCTAGTATCTACAATTTACTCTGGGCGAGGCAATAGATATTTATAAAGAGAAACAGTACTTGGAGCCAAATTTGGAAGAAATTACTTGAACTGCCGGTGCGTTCTCCACATCCGTAAATGCTATTGTCTCCCACTTCCGGCGCTGCGATGGCCTCGGAAGGTTCTCAGGCACAATGATCTCGAGCGAATTGGCTCGCCATTGAGCGCATTTTCTTTTGTCGCTCCATCTCGAGATCTTTACACGCCTCGAATCTACAACTTGCGGCGGCGATTCGAGAGCCTGAGTTTCAACGGCGACGGAGATGTCGCCGAACTCAATTGCGAGAATCAAACTCGCTAAACCTAAAGCGCATCGACTTCTGATTCTCCACGTTCCTCTATCGTCCTTCCTGTAGTAAAATAAGAAATCTTAATCGATTGATCGTGGAAAAAAGTTGAAGAACAGTGAACAGATTGATCCGTCTTCGCATATAAAATCCATCGCGATGAAGTTAATTGAGACTTACGCAGACAATCGAGCAACTTTTGAAGAATCAAAGGAATTTGAATCGGGAGCTCGAGGTAGGAGAACTACTGAAGATGAACAATTGATGCCCAAACCCATTTCGCTGTTTCTTTTCTTCTCTCGAAAGAATAGTCAAGCAACAGAGTAAAAATGGGCGGGGTGATATTTATATAAAGAAAGCGGTTACGAGAGATGTTTAAGTTACTCTGACTGTCACTTTGCAAAAGAAGTTAACAATAACTGCCTCTGGAGAATCGGACACGTGGCTTGGGCCCACTAAATTAGGTTTTGGGCTATCCCAACTACTACATAAAACCCAAAAAATCACTAGGCTTGAAGAGCTCATTTGAAGGCCGAAGTCCAAGAGAATAAATAATAAAATTATAAATATAATAAAAATAACGTTAAAAAAAAAACAAACCCATGAACTAACCTAACTTATAAATCTTCATTTATTTGATTTGAAATAATCAAATTCAAATGGGTTAATAACCCAACTTAAACTATATTTATTGGATTGGGACGATCATCTTCACTAACTTAGCCAATGATAGATTATAAACCTATGGTCATTCCTAAATTAGACCGTGAGGCTTTCATTCAACACTTTCCTTCCTCTTATTATATTAATAAAGGAGATAGAATGGTAAATAAACTATAATTTATTATTAAATATTTTAACATTGTTTTATCTTCTAAGTTTAGTTTCAACTCAGCGCCTGAATCGTGACGACTTTATTTCACCAAGCGGCACGTCCTGCACCAACTAAATAAACGAATCATAGCAAAAGTAAAGAAATAAATACCTGGCACCGGAATGAACGGGACGGATTAAACGGAACCACGTGAAACGATGGGGACGAAAATCACGATCATCGGAGCAGATGACAATGGCGGCACACACGGAATCCCAAGGCTGCACATAGAACGGAATTGAACAGGTCACAATTCTCATCATCCAACGGTGTTATAAATCATTTTCAAATTGAAGCCGGTTGCTGGTTGTTGAAATTAATCTTCGAATTTTGTTTTGCTTTCGTTTGGTTTCAATTCGAAGTAAAAATGTCTGAATTTCTCCTTCCACAGCAAACAATGTTGTATGTACAAAGGTGCAAGTTCGTTGGCTTTTTTTCTTCTTCTTCAATCCTCTGCCAAAAAACCACGAAGCCTGCGAATAACACTCGGCGAGTCGACTCAGTAGTCCTGCTTCCGAGTCACATATTCTGAATCTAATGAACTTCACTTCAGATACTTCTTTGAACGATTATGCAACTTAGTGTAGTGTGTTTTCTTTTCGGCTATAATTCTAAACCAGAAACGTTCACAAATTGTTGCTCTTCAAACAACCTGAGATCATAAAGTTTTTAGACCTCACCGTACCTTCTGCTGTAAATTCAAGCGTCGTCAACCTTGGACATGACAGAGAGCCGACTTGATCTAGGTATAAATGCCCCTCTCCTCCTCTGCTGGTGCGAAGAAGGTCGAATTAGAGTAGTCAATGCTCGCTTCACCAACTCTCCTTCCACACCACCGATTCGAACGAGCGAGTTGGCCATAGCCGATCGCCGCATATTTAACCTGGTTGAAGGAAACGACACCGTCTGGCTATTGCCGCCGCTACTCGAGACGTTTTTGTGAAGACTACACCGGAACGATCCTGGATGCGTCGTCGGAGAGCATATACAGGTCCTCTTAACATTAGACGCCGATCGATTTTTCCTCGAAACAATAACGGACCGATTCGGAGAAATCGAACGGTTATCGACGAAAAAACGGACAGCAGAAGTAAGAGAAGGAGACGAAAAAAAATTAACACGGCTAGGGGAGGTGCATCGAGGTTGATGATGGTGGCTGCGGAAATCGCGGTGATCAACGGAACGGAAAGTAGAAGAATGCGAGTAAAAGTTTAAGCTAGTGGATGAAGCAAACGCCGACGTAAAAGACGACAGCGCCGGGAAGTTACATAACCGGCCGCCAGGCGACTGTGATCGGCGCACCGGGCCGCTGGATCTGGTTTTCGAAGATGAAGTCACCATCAGAGACAAAAAGAAGCCTCGAGTATTATTTACCCTCCTAGGGGCGCCTCAGGACGTTAGTTTGGCAAACCCAACGATTTGCACAGGCCGGTTTTATAGATCCGAGAAAGCAGGGTAAGAATGTAATTAACCGCATAACTAGGGGTAATTCTAGAAAGAAGTTGAGTCAGTTGACACAACCATGGTAGGGTTAAAGGACCGTTGGGATTCTTGATCCAACGGCTGGTAGAGGAGGAAGAAAGACGAAGATAGGAGGCGTTTATCCAACTTTTAGGAGAAGGAGAATCTGCCACGTGTTAAGATACCTCTGACATGAAACATACGTAAAAGTACGAGAAAACCATTTTCAGAGTCATTATTTCAATTTTACCATCGCATGAGGAAATGCTAGAGCCACCGACGTTGTCATCACGGTATCCATTGCTTGAGCTCCACGTAATGCAACTCTAAAGATTTTTCTTGCTTCTAATTGGTGACAGTCCAACCATAATAAAGTTCATATTAATTAAAAAAATTAATTTAATAAATGATATTTATTTAAATTAGTGTATTATTAATATCTTTACATAATTTCTACTTTTAAAAAATTTATTATTACCCTTAAAAAAAAAGAAAAAAAAAATTGAAAATACTTACCCTCTCATACTTTTACCAAACTATGTAATAACCAACCTTTCGTAGACTCCGTTTCCAAAACGCCATTCGTACCGGTCCCTCGTCCCGTCTTTGAACTCCCTGCAATGCATACCAACAGCATAGAACCAAGCTGGCTAACACAGCGGTATCGGTTGTGAATGCACGAAAGATAGGTCTAGACATTGAAGCCAATCTTGCCATATTATACTACATTCGTGTTACACGAAAAAAGTACAAGTTGATCGTTCAATATCAGCTACGTTAGCAGTGGAAATAATCATACACTTAGTTTTCACGATTCTTTGTTCCCCTCCAACTCTTCCCCAGTTGGTTTAGTAGTTAGTCCTTTCGTATAAGCACGGTGGCGCCGTTCTCGACCGTATATAATCCATAGTATCAGAGACAGCATAACGGCAATGGAGGCGGTTGCTAATCCTACATACACCCATCTGCTGTATTGTTGTAAACCAGGACAATAATTTCTATGTATGTCATCGAACGTTTGGCGAACAAACGTGCAGTCTTGGAGCTCGACCAATGTAGGACCATAGTTCAATAGCGCATAGCTTAAGTTGACTCCGCTCGTCATCTGGCTGTATAAGTTCGGAGTCAATCGCCCCGTCGTGATGCATATATCACCGGTAGGCAAAACTTGGCAGACATAGTTGCCCCATATCTGCTCAATGAAGATAAGAAGGCTTGTACTCAGTCTATTTAGAATGAACTTTAGAAGCCTATCCTATGACTTACTTGTGTAGCATTTTGCAAGTCTACTTCACCAGAAGAGCAAGTTCTCGGTGTCAAGTCCGCATGGTGAAACGGGTTACAGAGCGTTGGCATAACGGGACCGGATTGGTTGAAGTACATCGGTTTGAAGTTCGGTGAAAAATTTATGTTTGAGACATTGGTGATCACCTCGTTGATCAGATCGACGAGTTGTGCACTCACTTCCTTGCTTTTTACCAGGGTTTCTTGAGCAGTCACTTTATCCACACAAGGAAGAATGTCGTCTAAGGCCGTGTAGGCGCTCGGATTCTGGACCCATTGGTCCATTGCGACACAAGTATCTGCAGCCACACTACATATCGAATCGAAAACGATATCAGGTTTTAGTGTCTATGGAAGTTATGGAAGGATAAGATGAGGAAAAAAGAAAAGACAATGAACCCGTAATTCGAATTCGTTAGGGAAACAGATTATCATTTTGTAAGCAAAAGAAAAGAAATTCACTGCACTTGAAGTAATGATGTTGTAACAGTCTAAGCACACCGCTAGCAGATATTGTCCTCTTTAGGCTTTCTCAAGCCACCGTTAGCAGATATTGTCCTCTTTAGGCTTTCCCTTTTGGGCTCCCCCTCAAGGTTTTTAAAACGCGTCTGTAATGGCCCAAACCCACCGCTAGTAGATATTGTCCTCTTTGGGCTTTCCCTTTTGAGCTTCCCTTCAAGGTTTTAAAACACGTTTGTTAGGGAGAGGTTTCCACACCCTTATAAAGAATGTTTCGTTCTCCTCCCTAACCGATATGGGATCTCACAATCCACCCCCTTTAGGGCCCAACGTCCTCGATGACACTTGTTCCTTTCTACAATCGATTTGGGACACCTCTCCCCTCCCATCCACCCCCTTCGTGACCCAGCATCCTTGCTAGCACATCACCACGTGTCCACCCCCCTTCGAGGCTCAGCCTCCCCACTAGCACATCGCCCAGTGGCCGGCTCTAATATCATTTGTAACGACCTAAGCCCACCATTAGCAAATATTGTCCTCCTTGAGCTTTCTGTTTCGAGCTTCCCCTCAAGGTTTTTAAAACGCGTCTGCTAGGGAGAGGTTTCCACACCCATATAAAGAACAATTTCGTTCCCCTCTCCAACCGACATGAGATCTCACAGAAACATTTCAATCAACGAAAAACGTTTGGACATTATACAAAAACTCACATCACTTCAAGTATTTGCAGCACAAGATCGAATAAACACGACTTACTTGTGAAGAACAAGAAACGTGCCAGATAAGACAAACGTCCCAGTTACGAGTAACCAGCCAGTTATCACCAGGCTGCAATAGAATCATCACAACACCTTCTTAAGGAAATGAAGTAAAGAAATGAACAACAGAACTTCAAATACCTCACTTACATGTACACAAGGACTTGCATGCCAAATATGGAGAACACTGCAGCCAAAAGGTTAAACCATACTAAAATGAGTAAGAATCAAACTAAATAGCATAGCAAAGAGCTAGAAAAGAGCTTACAGAATCCAAGAAACGTCAACAAAAGCATGATAGCCGCGACGATTATCAGAGCCAGACGACTGCGATATCCGAAAATCGTCAGCTCATGATCGAATTATGAGGAACATATGAACAAGAAAAGAAGCAATGAAGTCTAAACATACATAGAATCAAGGAGATCTTTTATGTCAATTGAGTTATGAACAGTTTTTTCATCAAGAACACTAGCAGAAGAGTTGATCTTTATCTCAATTTGATCGATGTCGGTTTGAACATCAGAAGGCAAGAACACTTGATCGACTCCGGTCTGCTTCGCCGCGGCGAAGTAATCCGATACATCCCGAAGCTTTCGAGCAGTGAAATCTGCTTGACTTACAACATATTCCAATGTTTTTGATGAACTATTGTGAAACCTTCCTTGTCCAGTGTATAAAATTACACATCCAATGCTGAAAAGACAAAAGATTATGATGCATAAGCTTTTTGAGCCAAATACAGAACAAGTGGAAGAGAGAAAGGCAAGATGTTCACATTGCTGAAATGGAGAACATAATGAGGAGGAGAAGTGAAAGAGCATAAGCCGTTCGAGAATAGCCGTATGAGCGTTTTTCACAACAGAAGTAACAAAGAGAAACGACGAATAAGCAAAGGCCGAACCCCGAGAGCCAGGCTGCAGCAACAGCAAACAATGGAGCTGCAGTGAAGCTAACAGACTGTATCCAAATCAGAGAAGCACAGAGTAAGAACAGAGATGCATAGAATTATCGGGAAAAACATCGTCTATGATCGATCACGAAAAGGATGCGAAATATGAGAAAACGAGTAAACTTGGGAGAGTCACAGCAAAACAGAGAAGCATTGCATACAATTGTAGAAAATAAAATCATTCCATGTAAGTACTTTACTTAAGAAGTAAGCTAGTAAAACTAAAATGAATAACTCATTCAAGGGTTCCCTCAACGTTTTAAAACGTGTCTACTAGGCAGAGGTTTCCACACTCTTAGAAAGAATGTTGCGTTCTCCTCTCCAATCGATGTGGGATCTCACAATCCACCCCCCTTTAAGGCCCATTGTCCTCACTAGCACACATTCACTTCTCCAATCGATGTGGGATCTCACAATCCACCCCCGTTGGGGCCCAGCGTCCTCACAAGCACTCGTTCTCCTCTTCAATCGATGTCATTCCCCTCTCCAATCGATGTGGGATCTCATAATCCACCCTCTTCGAGGCTCAGCGACCTCACTAGCACTCGTTCTCCTCTCCAATAGATGTCGTTCCCCTCTCCAACCGATGTAGGATCTCACAATCCACCCCCTTCGGGACCCAGCATCCTCACAAGCACTCATTCTCCTCTCCAATCGATGTGGAATCTCACAATCCACCCCCCTTTAGGGCCCAGCATCCTTGCTAGCACTCGCTCCCTTCTCCAATCGATGCCGTTCCCTTATGTGGGATCTCACAGTCCACCCCCCTTCGAGGCTCAATGTCCTCATTAGCACTCGTTTCCCTCTCTAATTGATGTGGGATCTCACAATCCACCCCCCTCCAAGGCCCAGAGTCCTCACTAGCACTCGTTCCCCTCTCCATTCGAGGTGGGATCTCACAATCCACCTCCATTCGAGGCTCAACGTCCTCACTAGCACTCATTCTCCTCTCCAATGGATGTCGTTCCCCTCTCCAATCCATGTGGGATCTCACAATCCACTCCCCTTCAAGACCCAATGTCCTCACTAGCACTCATTCCCCTCTCCAGTCCACGTTATTCCCCTCAGAAAATGCTATAGAAGTAACCATTTATCAAATGATATGGACTAAAGCTCTTATATGCTTGCTTAGCTCATACAAAACAGCCCCATCTCCAAGTTTCCACATCTTTAACAACCAACAAAACCAAAGTAAAATAGCCATTCAATCACATTCTCGATCAAATATAGCCATTAGAAGGCAAATTCCCATAAGAAATTGAGTTGGGGGAACATACTTACAGCCCAGTAATGGCGGTCACTGATATTCCACCCATTAGTATAAACTTGAAACCCACTAAGAGGATCTTTTCTTCGAGTTCTTTCAGCTGCCAACACAAACAACGAGTGCTCAACAGGCTCCGTTACGGGCCCTTCAGCAACAGACCCCTTAGGACTTCCCCAACCAAGCTCCCCACCAGAATAATAGTCTTCATTTCTCCACTCTACAAAAAGATAGCCATAAAAAGAAGAAAAACGGCAAAAAAGGGCAAAATCCAAACAACCCTTTTCTCTAAATACGTTATGTTTTCGAAAAGTGACCAAGAAACTGTGATTGAGTACCTGAGATGGGAGGAATTTGAGAGAAGGGAGTTTGAGAACCGCCATGGGAGAAGGGAAATAGAGCAGAGGAATAGCAGAGTGAAAATGCAGCTAGAACTGAAAATGGCGGTGACCAGTGACGTGGCATTTCGTGGTTAAAGAGAGGTAAGTTTCCGGGTTGAGATGTTCTTGGTGCTCGCCGGTGGCCGGAAACTGAAAACGGCTGCGAGGAGGAATAACGAAACGTTGGATGCTTCTGATTATTTTAGTTTTATTTGAGTGCTTTTAATTTCTCTGCTGTCCCACACTCGTAATCGTTGCATTTTTTTATGACCAAATTGCCCTTCCGTCCGTTGTTAAAACATTTATTAAAAACAATAAAAAAAAATATTATATATACAAAATAGTTGAAGTACATTGACAAATATAATATTTAAAACATTTATTAAAATTTTAATTTAGCATAATTATAAAAAGAAGAATATTATAAGAAGGACAAAATTGTAATTTTAGGTTTAAAATTAAATTAATGTCCCATCAAAAAGGCAAGGCGGGAAAGGCAGGGGCATTTATGTCAGAAAAAGATGAGGGTTGAATTGGGCCAGGTGGATGAGAAGTGCGGCCCAGAGGAGATTCAAAATGGTGGGTCCCACCAGGCACAACATCCGATGAATGTTTGCTTTTTGAGTTTGTCTGATCTTTGGAGTACGCAAAGGCCCAATAAGGCCCACCAATTCCGCCTCTCGTTTCGGCTTTTTCTTTATTTATATTTTATTTTTAAATATAAAATTACACGGACCAATATATATTATTGTTTTATTGTTAATTGTAAATTAACTTTAATTGATTTTTATACCCCAAAAAAAAAAAAAAAATGCAAAGTAAAAATTTGAATTTTGACGTAATAAATTAAATAAATGCTTTTATTATTAAATTATGCTTAAATATATTGTCTAGTTAATATATCAATTATTTGTTTTAATATATTTCTTTCAATTATGCATGTAAATAAGAAAATTCTAACCTCGTAGTTGTTAGAGGAACACGGTTCCAACAATGGCTTTGCTAGGCTTCCTCAAAAGGTCTTGTACCAATAGAAAGAATATTCTTTGATTATAAATTTATAAGCATTCTCGAAATTAGCCGATGTGGGACTTTCATTATCCAACACCTCCCCTCGAACAGACTCTGATACCATGTTAGACGAACATGACTCCCCACAATAATATAATATTGTTCACTTTAAATATAAACTCTCATGGTTTTGCTTTGGGGTTTCCCAAAAAGCTTCATACCAATGAAAAGAGTATTAATTGATTATAAATTCATGAGCATTACCTAAATCAGTCGATGTGAGACTTTCATCATCGTATAAATAAACGTAATTATAAAATAATATAATTTAGTAAATACATAATATGAATTTATACACGTGTGGCGTAATATTATAAAAATAATGCACCAGACCCGTTTCCCCAAAATTCGGTTCTGAATCGGGCAATATTAAATTATAAGAATTTTTCGAAATCTGACAAAACTTGTCCTTTCTGACAATTGAGTCCTGATTTTCAAACCTCTATATTTGACTTTTTCGGCTTGTTTTCTCACTGCTAAAGGAGACCAGAGAAAGTGGGCCCCAGGAATATTTGTGGGCCTCTGGCAAAAAAAGAAGGCCCATGAAACACTGGGCCTTACGTCTATTTGACACAATCAATGGTTTCCATCAAGGCCCAATTGAAATTCAAGAGGATCACATCAAGCTTTTGTGACCACGATTAAAATATTGATATTAGAATTTAAATTTTACAGATGGACCTATTGATAATATATATATATATATATATATATATATATATATATATCTCGATCCAAAAGAATTATTAAAAATATTTTAATGAAGAAACAATTCACACGATCCATCTATGATTTTTTTTTGGAACGACCTAATTTGACACCAGAAACGAGAATCTCGATTGCACACCTTATAAAATTTATTCCATTTCAGCTTTCAAAGAGGGTTTACATCCAACTTTCCATTTACACCGTTATTATTGTCATGAAAGATACCAACAACGAAAGCACTTTAATATGTGATACTGTGTTATGATAAAGAATTAATCAAATGGAAACTTTTGGAACAAATTATTTTGATGATCAAGATCAAGAATAAAGAAAGCTCGTGATTCGAATTACTCCACAAGAGGTTGATCAATATCATTTAAATGACTTAGCATGAAAGTTCTAAAACACAAGAATTTGCATAAAGTGAAAAGATTAATTCTCGACAAATCTAAAATCAAAACTGTGACTTGATACACTCGTAACCTCCCTATTCAAATAATGCAATAAAAGAAATGTGTCGTATAGTAACCATTGACAAACTAAGTTCTATAAGTTTAACTAAGAATTCATCATAGGTAAGTTAAAATGTATTTCACGTACCTCTATCTTGAAGCTCAACTTTGTACCACACATGGAAAAGCTAAAACTTCCTTTGACCTGGAAATTAAGAACAGAAAGTTGTGGAGCCAATGACCTGGAAAGGGAAGGGATTATCCCAAGCATAAGTGAAGGAAATGGGATTTGCTCCAAGGATTGGCGGACTTTGTTGATGTCATTCATGGAGCACTGGCAATTACCTGAAAATCATTCATCCCATCAAAGATACAAGTTAAGAGGTTTAATGGGTTTGCTTTCAAATGTTAAAAAAATGAGTTTCTAAGAAAATATGTATTATGTGAAATGAGTTCAAATGGTATTTTGAAGGGACTGATGGAATAGAAAACACCAGAAGTACAGATATCAGGTAGTGTGTTTATTGTCATTCGATATGAAGGGCGATTTCAGTAACGAACAATAATCGTCAAGTAAGTCATATGTTTAACTTTCCTCTATTCTTAAAAAATTCTAAAGGAAGAAATGGAAGGATATTTGTTCTTACAAAGAAAACATGGTGTTCTTGGACGAGAAATCATTCAAGTTGAAGCAGACGGCTGTTCTTGAAGTGCAAGAGGAATAGTTGGTCTCCAAGTTGTTCCATTTGGGCCATCCATGAGAGTAATTCCAACACCAGCTAGATCATTCCTGATTGCATCGGATTTTTCATACTCCTTGTTCTTTCTTGCAGCATTCCTTTCTTCTATTTTCTGTAGTACTTGTTCGTTCGACATCTTCGCACGTGTCAAAGCCTTTTCCTTCAGCTGTCCCAGAGCCTGTGTTAACCAAAAAAAAAAAACAAAAGTTTTTGCCATTATCCGTTTCTGAAAAGTGAGGTTCGTAAGTCAAGTCCCCAAAAATGTTACAGGATTTGAATACAGTGACATGAATCCATTTCTACCTCAGAATAACTTGCAGGCATCAATCCTAAAATGGACAACAGCCTTCCTATTATCTTCTCCAAAGCTGCAAGAGATTCAATTCGAAATTTCTGCTTCTTGCCCTGTATGAATTAGAATTACGCATGTTACAAAGGATAGAATATATGAAAGACGTGGGGGATGGTTTTTAAACCGAAGTGAGTATAAACAAGATCCTTTAGTCTCCAACACTACTTCATTGACTCGAACAAAAACATCATTTTATCTTTCCGGTTCAATCTTAAACTAATACATAATCTCGAAAAAATCTTTTAGACAAATCTCATTAGTAGAAGACAATGATCTTACAACGACCCAGATCTACCGCTAGTTGATATTGTCCTCTTTGGGCTTTCCCTTTTAGGCTTTCCCTCAAAGCTTTAAAACGCGTCTGTTAGGGGAAGGTTTACACACCCTTATAGATGGTGGTTTGTTCTCCTCCCCAACCAATGTGGGACATTACATTCACTGAAGCCTAAGATAAGCATGTCTATACTAAAAACTCAAACAGATAAAGATGGACTGTATCAGAATGAATCAAGCTACACTTGTATCAAATACCTTACGAGTATGTAACAAATCATTGATAATTTTCAAAGGATCTGATAACGCTGCCAAAACCACATTAGTGTGAATGTCATCGGACATCGAGGTCAGGAAAACATTGTAGAATTTGTTGATCTCTTCCATCAAACTTGGGGGAATGGAACCCTTAAGACTTGATTCATCTTGCTGGCTAATAACAGTTTTACAGTCATCAAGAGTCTGCAACCATTCAAATTCAGTGAAACTGAATTAAGACACTGAGCATTTTATATTATGATACAAGAACAAAAGGGTGGGTCGAACAGATTAAATTTATGCGAGGATATTTGTACATATTGAAACATCATGATGTTTTCATGTGCATAGTGTCACGGTCATGCTTGTCTAGGGCGTGTTGCCCATGCCACGCTGAACTCTTTATTTAATTTTATGTCGTATTATCTTACTATTGTATTTTGTACGACTACTCGGCGAAATCATGTCTAGGCATGTCAGACTTGAATTGCCTCAAAATGTACTATTAGAGGGGTGTGACTAGTTGTCAACTCCTCCGCTTGATTTTGTATGACTGTTCGGTGAATCACGTCTAGGCTTGCCAGACCTAAATCACCTCAAAATGTACTATAGGGGGATGCGAATAGTTGTCAAAATCTCCCTACCCAGAAAGTTATATGTTATTTAAGCCGTTGTGTTTCCTTTTGCTATAGTTATATAACGTTGCTTTCAAATCTTCTCTCATTCTTACTTTCAAACTCGCTTTCGAAAATCTCTCTGCCCCCGCTTTCTAAAACCTTCTTCTCAAACGGGGCCAGAGGAGCATACGTTGTCTGGCCGTAGGCGATGCAAATCCAAGTTGGCTTAACTCACTCGGTGTTGGGAGTGAGATCCGCACAATCGCAAAGTCCGTTGCCAAGAAAAGTACGATTGTGACACAGCCTACGCTTGTTCTTGCAAGTGTCTGATGATAACAGTTGCAACGGCTGTATAAATATAATTTCTCACGATGAAAATTCTATGCTACAACCCTATGAGAGTAATCGAGTTGCGTCAAAGATGATTAAACTAAAAAATTGTATGTTATCGTACCTGATAGATGTAAAAAATACGATCTGAAGCACTTTCAAGCAGGAAATCAGAGTAGTTGATTGGAGAACGATAGTGTGTCCCCAATAAGAAAAGCCTCAAAGCCAGTGGATGGTAAAGATCTATCACCTGGAAATTGAAGTACTAACATTGGAAACCGATTCTTGTAACAAAATGAAACAACAAAAATCAGATCCTGCAATGGATTTCCATAATGTTTAAAAAGATGAGAAAAATAAAAGAAGGAAAAGGGGAAGTCTGAATGAAAGATTTGAGTCTACCTGCCGAATGGTGAAAAAGTTCCCCAGAGATTTAGACATTTTCTCTGAGTCGATAGTCACGAAACCATTATGTAGCCAGTAGCTTATATTACTCGTTTTGCAAGTGGCACAACTCTAAGCAATTTCATTTTCATGGTGGGGAAAGACAAGATCCATCCCTCCACCATGTATATCAAAAGAATACCCCAGATATGTTGCACTCATGGCACTACACTCTATATGCCATCCAGGCCTTCCAGGACCCCATGGACTTTCCCAAAATGGCTCCCCCTCCTTTGCAGACTGCATGTTAGCACAGGACTTCAATAATAATACATAAACAGGACACAGATGTGTGAAAGATAGGTAGGGCGAATCATCATACAATATTGAAGTGCTGTGTTTATCTTTGTCAGTTACATTGATAAGGCAGTTGATCTGTACCTAAAAATGAACCAAGAATTGTTGACTTTTCTTTATCTATCTTCAATTCAACAAATTTATCCATCTCTTTCATTCAGAGAATCTCATAGTTTGATGTATGCATGCAAGTTGCAACACTTAACAATAATACAAGGCAACTAGATTGACCTTCCACAATGCAAAATCAGCAGGGTTCTCCTTCCTGGAGTCCACAGCAACCCGCTCTCCAGCTCGATTATCCTCTAATTTTCGTCCCGATAATAGTCCATATTCTGGAAATTTGTCCACATTGAAGTACACATCACCATCAACACAATAGGCATATCCATTGTCAAGAATCTGTCATGACACAACAGAAACAATTAATGCTTGTCATGCATGCCTCCCCTTTGAGAATCAAGAGTAATACCCACAGAGCATAAAAGAAGACAACAACTCAATAATATATGCTTATTGAAACAAAAGATGGCTTTAAGGCTTGTCGAGAATCAAGATAAGATGGAGCTCCCACTAATGTAGGGGCATTCGCACCTATGCTAAGGCCAAGACCTAAGAGATCTTGAGGGTTTTTCTTGTTAAGCTCACCTGAAGGTTCGAACACACAAATACTAGTTAGGAATTACTTGGATGAAGACCACAAATCAAAGAAAACTTAACATAAAATTTTACCTGTTTTATCATATCAATGATCTGGAGCATGTGGTCTGAAACTCGTGGTTCAACTGAAGGTGGCAAGCAATGAAGAGACACCATATCTTGACAGAATTCTTCATAGTAACGCTTACTTAAATTAAGCGGATCTTCCCCCAACTCATTTGCTCTAACAATTATCTACAGAATTTGAAAAGTGCAGACTCAGGATCCTGTCATAGCATTATGAAAAAAGTTGGTACCAAGATAAAGAAACATGATCATATCAAGCATTAAAAAGGTGTAAAATGCTCCGGTTACCTACATGGAATGGAACAAAAGTGACAACGGGAATCTATCTTCAACGCATGTAGGATTTGCATCAATTTTTACTTAAAAATTAAGCTTCATTAAGTACTCAAATGTAACTACGAGTTGTAGTTCTCTATCCATCTATCTTTACAATTGATACTCCCTTTCACTCTTTATGAGCAAAAAACAGGGAACACCATTCACTACAGAAGATGTACCAACAAATCAAAGAATCGAGCAAAAAGAAATTCAATCCACATTCATTCCCGGTCTTCTTGTTATTCTTATTCTCACTTCCCAGAAGTAAAAGGCAACATACGTGCATGGGAAACGGAAATTTTAACATGGAAAAATGAAATTTCATATGAAGACACAATTTTAGAAGATTCACTTACTTTGTCATTCACATCGGTGAAATTGCGAACATAAAGAACTTCGTATCCCAAATGCTTCAAATACCTGCTAACATTTCAACACGGAGTAACAAATCATCACACAAATGTTTAATTAAGAAAAAAAAAAAGTTAAGGTAACACTTAGAAAGAATCAATACCTATATAGAACATCGAAAGTAACATAAACACGCGCATGGCCAATATGGCTGAGATCATAGGCAGTGACACCACACACGTACATGCCCACTTTACCTTCAACCTTGGTCTTGAACAGCTCCTTCTTCCTACTCATTGTGTTGTGCAGCCAGAGTTCCGACGAGGTACACTGACGCGGAACGCCGCCGATTTCTTTGTGATTCTCCTCATTAACCGGATGCTGAGATAAGCTCAGAGAAGTAGTGAAACATCTCGCGGACTTGAAGAACGGAAAACGAAAATGGCGACGAGTTCTGCGGAGGAGAATCGCCTGAGAGACTGAAATCGGAGAGAATCGAGTTACCATTAATGGGTTGCAGAGCTTTAGGAGGGAAGCCATTTTCGCTCCGCTCTTGGATTTTGGTCCTCTCTTTACCCTCCTCTTCTGGGCGCTACTTCAATACGTTATCTGCGATGCAAACTCTTGACTTTTAACTCACGAGTTGACTCGCAAAGACACCTATTAATTTAATTTTTTTTTCTTATAATACACACAAACACACACACATATATATATATATACACATATATTTATTATAATTTTATTTAATTCTATAATTATTTTTTTAATAATTCTTAAAATAAATTTTAAGTGCTCCCAAAATTTTAAATCCCTAAAATACATATTAATACTTTTTACTTTTATTAAAACAAATATTCAATGTTCAAAAATAATTTCTTATAAAAAAAAATGAGAAAATAAACACAACTTTAAAAAACCAAAAACAAAAAATAAATCAGTAGTATTAATAATTTTCACTGAGTGATTTTTAAGAATAACACAGCATAATTATTAAATAAATATTAATATATATATGTATATAATAAAAAGGAAAAATATTAAGTAATATAAAAATGAAGTATCAAAATAATGTTTCATCCAAAATGGGTGACAGATAATGGTCGTTTACATAACTCTACTAAGAGACTCGTTTTAAGAATGATGATGAAATCCAGACCAAACTAATGTCTAATTGATGATGATGATGATGCGTATCATAATCAAAACGAACACAAACAAGTCGAGTTTATCCCAGTTGTGTTTTGGCCAGAATGGTATTATCGGAGCAACTAGATGATTACGCTCATTTGCTTCCGAGTGTTAGAAATCCCGATTTCTTCCTGCAGGACTTGGATGCATTTGAGCTGGGGATGTAGTCGGTATCGAAATCGACCTTTTTAACTGCTCCGGCCAGCCCCGGGTAGCAAGCTTGATAAGGTCGGGACGCCTTGGTTCCTCATTTCTTCTTGTGCTCTCCTCATTTCTTCAGGATCTGATCATTGGGACATCACAAAATCATGCAATCAGAGATGGGAAGAAACTCATTCATTTATATGATCGAATTGAATTAGCTCGAGTTTTCTGTCTCGAGGCAGATCAAGACATTGCTGATTGGAACCAATAACATGAACTTTCCCATTCGATTTGTTATGATGAACCGAATGAAGTTGCAGGTTCATCAGAAGGGCAAGATATTAGCAACATAACTAGTTTGAAACTTTTGCCAAAAAATTTGGCATGAGAAATAATCATCTATCACAGTGACCAAGGGTTAGGAATCACGGATATCCACAATGGTACGATATTGGCCACTTTAAGCATAAGCTCTCATGGATTTGTTTTTGGTTTTTCCAAAATGCCTCAAACCAATGGAGATGTATTCCTTATAAACCTATGATCAACCCCTAAATTAGCTAACATGGGACTCCCTCCCAGCAATGCTCAACAATCCTCCTCTTGAACAAAATACACCATAGAGCCTTCATTGAGGCCTATGTAGCCTTCAAACAGCCTCCTTTTAATCGAGGCTCGACTCCTTTCTTTGGAGCCCTCAAACAAAATACCTCATTTGTTCGACACTTAAGTCACTTTGCACTTTCGAGGCTAGCAACATCTTTGTTCAACACTTGAGGACTCGATTAGCATAACTAAGTTAAGGGCATGACTTTGATACCATGTTAGGAATCACGGATCTCTACAATAGTATGATATTGTCCACTTTGAGCATAAGCTCTGGCTTTGTTTTTTGTTTCCTCAAAAAGCCTCATATAATGGAGATGTATTCCTTATAAATTCATGATCGACCCCTAAATTAGCCAACGTAGGACTCCCTCCCAATAATCCTCTAACCCAAGTGTCTAAAGATTAATCAGGAACATACCCATTCTACAGCTAGTTCAAGCTTGAGAATCATAAATAGAATGTGAAGATATTGATAACCGGCTAATGAGAAAATGAGTAAGTACCTATGTTCTCCATTAACTTGGGCATCAGGAATACAACAAGTATCATGAATCCCATCATCAGACCCATGGGACTTTTCACAACAGACATTATGGAGAACGGTTCTCGAATCTGTAATGCGAAGAGATAGAGAAATAAAGTGAAATCAAGAGGATAAAACTCTATAATCTATAGTCCATGAAAAGGAAAATAAAAAGAGGAGGTTATGCTGAACAAACCTCATAATACTCTTCATCTCTTAAAGGCTCTAAAACAAGCTCACTCAATGCCCGCCTGTTCTCTGTTAGGGCGGCCTGAACCTTACCTGGGTTTCTAGCGCTAACATCAACTCGAACCTAATATAAAATGAACAAGAAAAATGAGTCACATGAAACCGGATTTTTAGAAAGTCTGAGAGAGCTAATGGAAGAAAATGAAAACCCACAGGAGAAAAGAAATAGCCCAATGCAGCCACTTCAATCAGATGAGTTCCTGCTGGCACATTATAGCTTTTAAGAAGTTAAGGCATTACAATGAACCTTAGAAACAATTTGCACGAGACCTGTTTGTAAATTAGTAAGGCCAAATTTTGTTGGGTAATTCTCCAAAACGATTAACACTAACTACCGTAAAGCAACAAACAAGCTAAAATCAAGCGCTATATCCAATTGAGAATTATATAAATGACCAGTGCAGATAATTTAATTCACAAAAGGAGCAAACCAATAAGGCTAAAAGTAATATAACTCCTTAATTTCGAGGCAGTTTCGATTAACTCAAAGCATATAAAGGATACAATGAAAAATATCCGTCCGGTCTCAAGTAGGTAATTCTTTGGCCACCATCAAGTATGACCTTAATGTTCGATATTTTTCCAGGAAGCCCATACCCTTTAAGAGCGTTGCCTGCCAAAAGCTCAATAGGATGAATTAGCTCAGAATATAACCAGAACCATCTAATCATAAAATCTCAAGCAAATTTAACATTCATTCCGAATATCGTTGAGTTGACAATTTTAATCTTCATAATGCTAACCTGTAATAAGAATAAATCATCATAATGCTAGGTAAAAGCTACATCCGTACATGCCTCATGTGAAACGAGTGAAGAATACAAATGCTACAAACCCTAAACCCTAAACCCTAAACATAGCCGACTTTCCTCTCCTCCAAAATGACAGATTTATGCGGATCTACAAATTAGTAAGGCGGGGATCTGAAAAACTTTTTTTTCGCATTTCAATCCAACTACCTAGATGCAGATAATGTATACCAGAATTATCAAAGCAACATCACTATTTTAATGTGGACACCTTGAGTTCCTGGTGGAGGGGGAAAATTATCTCAAGGATGAAGTGGATAATCTTGCAGAGTCCTATAGACATGCTGCAGTTCTTCGGCCCATAACTTACTTCGACCTTAACCATCTAGGCAACCGTGGAAGAAAGGACTTTTGGACACCTATGGCAGAAAGATTTCAGTGAAATTTAGCTAACTTCTACGGGAAGAGATTTACATTAATTACCAGGATTGACCAGCCTTCCTAACTATTTTCTAATTAAAAAAAGATGTTCCTGTCCATTTCTGCAATATTTCAAAAAAGAATTCATGGGAGGGGAGCTTGATGGAACATTGGAAGGAGGGTGGATTGTTCTTGCCATTGCCAAAAAACAAGATCTGAAGAACATCTCCAACACTTTTGGTCGGCAATTTTGGGGAAATTCACCGTTTATTTTGTGTTTCCCACACAATATTGGTTTAGTGATCTTATTCAGAAATACCTGCCAAGGAAAAGGCCTAAGTTCACTGAGGTGGGAAGATTTCATTAGATAGGAATCTGTGAGCGATAAGAACATGGTCAGATGTAAGATATTATTTTTTTTCCATTGCCACACTACGAAGTGCTTCTGGTAATTATTCTTCCTTACTTATCAATGTAAATTAGGTTAAAGTACCTTCTCTTCATTTCCTCTTCTGTAATTCTCGTTTTCCAACAAACAACTTTCTTCAAGAAAAAAAAAAAAAAAAAAAAAAAA